GAACACCTGTAAGCAGCTCCAGTTCCCTGCGGCCTCCTAAAGCAGCCCCTGGGCCAAAAGGAGCCCAGGAGTGTGGAGCAAAGCTACTCTGGGAAGCAGCAGCCCCTGATACCCCTGAGTAATTTCTGCGAAACAGCCTCTACTCTGGGGTCTGCTGGTCCACTTGGAGTTTATGGAAAAGGGTGGCCTTACAGCAAGTTTTGGACACCCTGCCCATCAGGGCAGAGTCTATCTCTAGAAGCAGTTGTTACCATGGGCCAGGTCCACGAGGCACTAACCACAGCAGCGTGGCGCCTTGAAGCCACAGAGAGCTCAGGCCAGAGTCTAGACCTGGCCATGCCTGGCCACGCCTATATACCAGCCACCACTGACCCCCCTCCTTAGCCAGGCGCATGCACAATCCCTTGTGAAGCTGAACATTCTGTGAGGGTGAGAGCCATCAACATAAAATCGGCCAATAAATAGAATTTGTGATCTTTTTTCTAAGTTAAATGGAAGAAAAAAAATACACCAAAGTGGCTAGTCACCTATTAGCCCTGATTTATACACTACTTTAATATCTCCTCCAAGAAAATGAAAGGCATATTTTCATCAAATATAATCGTTTATAGCTTCTAAAGGGGAGACAAACTGCTCTATGACAATTACCTGGGCCCACAGATAAAATCAGAAGATGTATCCTAATAAAACATACTTGTCTGGCAGCCACCCCGGGGCATGCAGCCAGGGTTGTTTTCTTCCTTGTGAATTATTCCCCAGGCAGATGCAAGGACTCCACATGGTGTGGCCTATGGGGAGGGACACCACTGTGGAGGGTGGGAAGGCGTCATGCCCCAGCACCCATGGGCCCTCAATTGCAGTGGTGGGATGTCACAGTATCAGAGGCCAACCTGGGTACAGGCTTCTGATGACCAAATCCCCCTCCAATGCCCGGTTCCCACTCTGGCGCTGCTCTTTGGCTTCTGTAAAACTCTGAGTAAGGGAGGGTGGTGAAATTCAGTTGATATGCAACCAACCTAAATCTGTCACCTGGGTACATGGTCCTTGGACACACATCTTCCTCACTTGGTGACAGAAATTTAGCTGACGGATGCTGCTTAAGGTCTTCCGGGGTCTCAGTTCCTTTGTGTTTCCTTGGCAAAGTGCCGTGGACTAAACCACCAAGTGTCTAGAGCCCCAGAGGGACTTACCTTGTCTGGCCAGTGTTCGGAGAAGGGAGAAGGCCTTTGATGGGCTCTCTTCCAAGGCTGAGCAGAGAACAAGTGCAGGCTCTTTCTTCATTCAACAAACACTAAGAGCACAGAGCTAGGCGCTGAGAAACAGGGGTGAATAGCATAGTCTTTCTTCCCTGCAGAGAGGATTCCCACACAGGCAACTCTCTCTGCAGGGGAGAAAGACTATGACCAGGCACACAAAAGCATCAGACAGGTAAAGAACCTCAGCGCAGTGGATAAAAGGAACCAGCCCAATGTGATGGAGGGAGGGGGCAACCCCAACCCTAGCCAGGGCTGATCCGAAAAGGCCTCTGAAGAGGCAGCATACAGACTGAGCTTGAGCCATTAGTGGGAGGCAGCTACACCAATATCTGGGGACAGACATCCAGTGCAAGGGCCTGAGGCAGGGAAGGCCTCGGTGATATGCAGGAATGGGTCTCAAAGTGCGGTCTGGAAATCCCTGTTTTCATAAAAATAGTAAGACATTTTTTCTTTTATGTTCATTTTCCCAGGAGTGTACTGAGGAGTTTTCCAGAAGCCACAGAATGCATGCTATCACAACAGACAGAAAACAGAAGCAAAGAGAATCCAGATGTCTTCTATTAAGCCATGGATTAAAGAGATTTGCAGAAATGCACACAATCAATTTTTTTGTGTTTTAGAAAACAGTTATTGTTCATAGGAAACTCAGTTATGCATATATACAATAGATTTATTCAATAAATATATATTAAAAGCATTTCTTAGTTTTAATTTCTAATGTCATAAATATAAATATAATCTATCTAAATGAAAGCTCTTTAAGTTCTGTAGCACTTTTTAAGCGCGTAAACAAACACGTGGTGCTAAGGCTAAAACTGAGAAATGCTGGCCTAGAGGAGCAGCAGGGGCTGGCAAGGCTGGGGTTAGCTTGGGGTAGGGGGAACTTCATCAGAGAGGCTGGTTGGGGCCAGCTCTCACGGCCATCACCCAAGATCAGAAGGAGAGATGTGGATTTTGTTATAAGTGCAACAGGAAACTACCAGAAAGCTGGAGGCAGGGGTATGACATAATCTGATTTGAGTACTAAAAGGATACCACTGGCTGAATAGAAGCTGGGGATTCTGAGGAGGCTTCTGTTGCAATCTTGGGAGATGTGGGAGGGGAGATCTCAGATCTCAGCATTTTCTAGAGGCCAAGCAGGCTGGTGGGTGTGGGAGTGGGGTGAAAAGATTTAAGAATGATTCCAAGGTGCTGTGGGGGACCCTGACTACTGAGATGGAGTGGGGGCAGCTTATGCTCCCGCCATGCCACGGCTCAGGGATTTCAACTTGCTCTTCAGGCCACGGCTCTGGTGCCAAGCCAAGGCGGGAAGGCAGTGAGGCCTCTCTCTTTGTGGGGGTGGAGGTGGGGATAAATAAGACTGTCTCCATCCCACCCCTGACATCTGAGTGGCACTTCCAGGGACAGGCAGGGGAGACACAGCCAAGGGCTGGATGCTGCCTTCAGCAACCGCCTTTGACTTTCTGTTGTCCCAGTTGGCACGGCCCCACACTTGCTGACCCTGGGACCAGCAACAGGCCATGGGACATCCCAGCTGTGCCAACCGCCCTGCCAGTCAGGCCCAGGTTCTGGAGCCAGGCCACACTCCCAGCACTTGATGATCTTCCCCCTCCACTGGAGGGCCACGCAGGGTGGAAGAGGTAAGCAATAAGTCATCCTAAAGCATTCTACAGACAGAGAAATGATCATGGAGATGCCTAAGAACACGCCACTTGGCTCTGTTTATTTACTTACACTGTACCTTGTTCAAAAGGGATCAGAGTGGAAATAAGGTCTGTGCTTTTCTCCTTACCCAGTAAGTCCCAAAACTGAAAGATGTCTCCATGACCCGAAAGAAGTCATTTCTTACCAGGTCAATTTGTACTTAGTTAACTGAGACTCGGTTGTACTTTATATTTACTTAGCAATCGTGGCAACAGAACACGAAGCAACCTGTAGAATTTTTACACAAAGAATCCTCCAGACCCTGAGACAGGCAGGCAGAATCATCTCACACTTCACAGCCGAAAACAGAGGTGGTGCCACAATCAGTCTCTCAGCCTAAGATTGTTTTTTTCTTTTCTTTTTGAGACAGGGTCTCACTCTGTTGCCGAGGTTGGAGTACAGTGGTACAATCACAGCTCACTGCAGCCTCAACCTCCTGGGCTCAAGTGAGCCTCCCACCTCAGCCTCTCGAGTGTAGCTGAGACCAAAAGCGCGCCCCGCCACGCCCGGGAAATATACTAGAGATAAAATCTCACTCTGTTGCCCAGGCTGGTCTGGAACTCCTGGGCTCAAGCAACCTACCTACCATGTGCTGGGATTACAGGCATGAGCCACCATGCCCAGACCTAAGACTGGTTTTAAGAAAGAAATCAGTCACAAGCTGTGGGTGGCAAAGTGAATTGGTGTACTGTTTTCTAGAGTTCATGTTGGGAATACATATACCAAGATTAAAAACCTTCCACTCTGGCAATTTCACTGCTAGGAATTTATCACACAGACATGCCAGATTTGCGCAATTACACAAAGACACCCTGAGGATGCTCACTGTGAGAGCAAGACACTGGAAATCACCCAAATACGAAACAGCAAAAAAGATTTTTTTGCCCATCCATATGACAAAATACCATATAACAGTTAAAAAGAATTAGGTTGATTCTTCCATTACGGAAGAAGAGGCAAGGTATAGCATCAGACATATGGTACATACCCCATGTGTAACAAACAAACATATGCATGATGTCCCAAGAAACATCTCTGGAAAGGCAGGCAAAAACCTGTTAAAAGTTACTTCTGAAGCAAAGTAGACTTACTTTTCACTTGATCATGTCCTACCTGGATTTAAAAACATCATATGCCTACAGCGTATACATATAAAAAATTAGTTCGTTCAATCAAATAATGAAACTAAAGTAAGTCATGTGGGGGAACCAGGACTCAGATTTTGGGCAGGTTCAGATGGCTGCATACTGCTCTTAAATCAGTAACTGCTTTTGAAAACATTTCACAACACTTGCAACTTAAGTGTGAAGCCCTACACAGGGAGGGGCTACATTGTGAGGGAGAGCTTGGCCAGTGTTCTCAAGTTTTGCAGTCAAAAGAAAGGTTCTCTTCCCATGGATGGGGGTGCATAGAGATTGACTTAAAGCAGACATGTCAGAACAGGAAGGGGAGATCTCAGTCTTTTGGAGAAGTGGTCCTTTCCACTCTGATAAACCAGTAAAGAACTTTCTGTTCAAGTTTCTGTTTTGGAAGGAGGGGAGGAGGAGGGTTAGAGATGAGCTCTGGGGAAAACAGGGAGGAGCTCCCCTCACATGGAAGGGGTGGACAGCTGACCTGCTGGGCAGCAGGGCCTTCTTCTCAAGTCTCACTTCTTCAGGGGGTTGTAACAGGAACCAAACTCACTATCTCTTTCTAGTCATCTTACATGGAGAAGGAAATGACTCTCCCACAACCTCATCACTAATCATTTAAATGTTTCCAAGAAATTTCCAAGAAACTTCTTAGTCAATTCTGAGAAGTTCTTCCACATACCCCAAAAAATCTCTGGAAAACCAAACCAAACACCAAAGGGAAAGCCAAAATTTATTTTTGGGGCTGTGTTTCATCTTGAGCTGAGCTTCGATAAATTCTAAGAAGCTGGTGCTGCTAGCCGACTGGGCTTCTGAGAGAAGGGCAGTTCACACAGGCTCCACTGAGAGAAAGCCCTTGAACGCCCACTATGAGGCATGAGTTGCGGTACAGGGTAAGGGACTGGCTCACCTGGCACTTTGTCCACAGATGCAAACACGGAGCGCTGCACGGTGGGGTCGCTGCTGCCCCGGCGCCCCTGGTCGTAGAAGCGGAAAGGCAGGTGCTGAGTGGAGCTGGAGGAGCCGAGTCCAAACCCCAGGACTTCAGTGGTGGGTTGGATTGGGAGGTCCAGGAGGGCTACGGTCAAACAATGGCATGGTTTACTCTCAGCAAGTGGGACAGAGCAGGCAGTGAGAATTTCGGAGGCGGGGGCGGGGGGCATTGTAGTGGCTGTGGCCCTGCTAGGCACATCACTTGGGAGACACCAAACAGGCGGCAGGCAGCCTTGAGCTGGGGAGTCCAGTGCAACATCAAAGATCCCACTGAGGCTAAAGGCACAGCAAATGCCAAGTGAGAGCTTCAGGCCTTCAGGTGGAGACAAAGGAGAAAGGGGTTCCAGCCCAGGCTCCTCAAGTAGAATGGATACTGGGTCCATTTCCACTTTGGATTCTCAACTTCCATGCGTAAAGGGCCCTGACAAAGGCTGTTTCAGACCCCAAGTGAGTGGAGCCGAGTTTGCCCAGAGAGTTCACACACATGTGTGTACGTATATCTGCATATGCAGAGCAGCACGTGAAAATATGTATGTGCATGTATGTGTATAACTATGAGTGGGTGTTTATCTGTCTCAGACGCTATCCTCCTTTCCATAAACAAATCTCCCAATATATCCATTCAGGGGGGCTTTTAAAAATCAATTTTAACAAATACCCAAGGCTTTAGTTCTAACATCCACTTTACGGCATAATTCTCAATTTTCAAATGAAATATTTGGCCTTTATGCCAGCTGTGAGAAATTGTTTTACATGAAAAAAAAAATAAAACCTCTCTGAAAATAAATCTTAAAAGAAAGGGCTGAATGATTTAAGTCACTTTGCACATTACCAAATGCTTCAGTAATGATTTTGTAGGCCAAGTTTCAGCTAAGTGAGAAATGAGATGGGGATGACGATGTGGGATGCGGGCCTGCGCAAATCAGCACAGTAAATCATCGCATCTGTAACTGGCCCTCCGAGGGATTATTATTTTTCATTTGATACAGGGTCTCACTCTGCCACCTCAGCTGGAGTGCAGTGGTGCAAAAATGGCTGACTGCAACCTCCATCTCCCAGGTTCAAGTGATCCTCCTGCCTTAGCCTCCCAAATAGCTGGGACTACAGGCATGTGCCAGCACTCCTGGCTCATTTTTGTATTTTTTGTAGAGACAGGGTCTTGCCATGTTTCCCAGGCCGGTCTCAAACTCCTGAGTGCAAGTGAGTCACCTGCCCTGGCATCCTAAAGTGCTGAGATACAGGCACAAACCACCATGCCTGGCCAAGGGCTTATTTTAAGTTATCTCTTGAGAAAGCACCCCCGCATTCCCAGGTGGGCCTAAAATCCAGTCAGAAGCCACCCCAATAACCACTGGTGTCTGAACTGAATGGCACTGGGTATTCTGAGAAAGACTGTTTATAATTTTAGGAGTTGACAGAATGCCTTCCCCACAAAGCTGAGGAGAAAGCCTTGCCTTCCTGCCCAATGAATGCATCTCCCTCATCTTTGTTTCTAAGAAATCTTGGCCTTCCTGACACTGGGTAATGTTAGACTTCCTCAGAAATTCACCGCAATCCCGTTAAATGTAAAATGACTTCCTTCCAGGGGTTCCAACCTTTCACCAAGCAGGGCTACCTCTTTTAAGAACTGGGAAGCAGGAGAAGGAAGGGGTAAGTTTTCGAGTAGGAAGTTCTGCCTGTGGGTTCTGCCTGTGTGACTTTGGGCAAGTCCCTGAGCCTCAGTTTCCTTCTCCAGAAAATGGGCAGAGCAGTCCCTACAGATCTCCAGAGTTGTTTCAAGGACTGGAGGTGGTAGAGGAATGTCAAAGCAATTTGTTAGCATAAGCTTGAGAATTTCAGTGTGAAGGGCTGTTTCCCAAGAAGAGTGGTCCCACAGTGACGTCTACTTGTTCCTGACCTCCTGCTGCTAGGGAGGGCTCCCCTTCTCTTCCATGAAACCCTAAAAATTCACCAGAAACCAAACACCCAGGAAATGGGACATTCCTCGTGCTCATATAAAACAATTTCCGAATCATAGGTGTCGTCTTCTATGCTGTGGGGGTTCTCAAGGTCTATGTGAGAACCACGGACATCCCTGCCCCACCAAGTGCCCAGAGGACACTCCACCAGGGCCTGGCCACTCACCAGCTATCCTCTGCATCTTCATGCGCCTTGCCTGGATGCGGCCTTTGGCCAGGCGCTGCTTGGCGATGATGCAGCGGATATGGTCAGAGAAGATGAAGGTGGCCTGGAGAATGGGGAAGGGCTTGGAATGGGGGCTGGATGCAGGCTTGTGGATGGTGATGTTCAGTGCACGGCTGTCATCCTCCACTCCAGTCACTTGCATGTCCTGCAAAGTGAGATGCAAAAGAAAGGTGTTTGCTGGGTTTGGGAGGCAGATGGCTGGAAGCTGTTGCATCATGTGGCATCTAGAAAGAGGTCTCCAAATTCAACTCTGCTTTTGATCTAAGATAATCAGCCTCCCAAGTCCAACAGAGTCAAGAATGGGCACAAGGCAGACCAGGCCCAGTGGGAGAAGACAGTGTGGGAGGCTCAGAGTACCCCAAAGGAGAGGATGTGAGAGGTGGTGGCTGGTGCCTGTTTCCATGAGGACTTGGGTCAGCTCATGAATAAGAGGGTACCACAGGCTTCTTCAAGAGGCTACAGATAACACAACAGGCAAACTCTTACTTCTGAGGAGCCAGAAATAATGAACCAAAATTCCTATCACCATCTGGCATGATCTTAGATATAATCACTCATCTACTCATCAATTTCTTCCTTATTTCTTCTAAGAATGGGACATCACTGGCAGTCATTTGCACATCTTTGAGAAATTTCTGGTCCCAAGAAAAAAGCTAATCCGGAGAAAGGGACAGGGGCTGGGCGCAGTGGCTCACTCCTGTAACTCCAGCACTTTGGGAGGCTGAGGTGGGTGGATCACTTGAGGCCAGGAGTTCGAGACCAGCCTGGCCAACATGGTGAAACCCCGTCTCTACTAAAAGTAGAAACAGGCATGGTGGCGTGCACCTGTACTCCCAGCTACTTGGGAGAGTAAGACAGGAGAATTGCTTGAACCTGGGAGGTGGAGGTTGCAGTGAGCTGAGATCGTGCCACTGTACTCCAGACTGGTTGACAAAGTGAGACTCTGTCTCAAAAAAAGAAAAGAAAAAAGAGAAAGGGATCGGGAAAGCCATCAAGCAGAGATGTGAAGGAAGCTGTGTTTCAAAGGTGGAGAAGAAATGAACATGCAGCAAAATATAATAAAGACGAACCCAGTCTAAAACCTCAGAATGGACTCTTCATAGAGAACCTGCTCTCATCAAGGTTTGAGGTGATCTGATATAAAAGCCTGAGAGGGGATGAACACAGAAGTCCGAAATGTTAAAAGAGGTGGGGACAGTGTTGGAAAAGGCTCACAGAGGAAGATGGTTGTGGTTCTCAGGCATTACACTTGGCACGGGCTCTCTGGAGATAACACCCCATCAAAACTCGGCAGTAAGGACTAGATGAGGTATTCTGCATTTAAAGCAGGGAGCGTGGTAAAGAGCTGACAAATAGTAGCTATTGGAAGATGGCCAAAAAAAGAAGGTTTATGTGGCTTTCATTGTCTGATGGAAGACGTGTATTAATTCTTCAGGGGAGGAAAACACTTTCCTGACACTAAATTCTAAAGAAAATTAATCAGAAGCCTAGATAAAGCCTAGATAGATAAGCATAAGTTACTTAATGGACAATGTCTTACATGGAGTGCTTTTTTTAAATGAAAGGTTTTTCTATAGTTGTTTCTCACATCACACTTTGTAAAAGACACTTTTACAATAGAAAGATCCTGAAGAGGAGGAGGTTGGGGAAGAGGCAGTAACAGCTGCTTCAAGTACGTGGGTGGTTCTCACAGAGAGGGGGACACAGACAGCAGGTCAGGCTGTGGTGAGACAGAGGTTGGGGGCCTCGGTAAGGCCCTTCCAGAACCCAGGGCTGGCTGGCAAAGAAATGAACTGCCTTGAAGCAGGGCAAAGCTCAAGCCTGAAGTGTCAGCTGGACATCCAGGGACAAGGGGTATGGCAGAGGGGTGACCTGGGAGTCTGCTTTCAGCTCTTCTGATTCTTTGCTTTATGCACCCAATGAGCTGATACTAGTCATCCATCACATGGACAAACTTTTTTTTTTTTTTGAGACTCACTCTGCTGCCCAGGCTGGAGTGCAGTGGTGCGATCTCAGCTCACTGCAACATTTGCCTCCTGAGTTCAAGAGAGTCTCATGCCTCAGCCTCCTGAGTAGCTGGGATTACAGGCTCCTGCCGCCAAGCCTGGTTAATTTGTGTATTTTTGGTAGAGAAGCCTGGTTAATTTGTGTATTTTTGGTAAGCTCTACTTTTAGCAGCCAGGCTGGTCTCGAACTCCTGACCTCAACTGATCCGCCTGCCTCAGCCTCCCAGTGTTGGGATTATAGACAAGAGTCACCACTCCCAGCCCACATTGGCAAACATTAAAAACAAAAAACGAAACAAAACAAAAACCCCCAAACCCAAGCCCCAATTTGGTGCCTGGCAAGTCAGAGCCTAGCTCTGCTGGAGAGACACTGAGCAGAAGGGAATTCTCAAAAATACCAGTGGTGACCATCATTTTAGAGTGGTATTTTGGCAGTGTCTATTAACACTTAAAGTTAGTACACCTCAGCTTCTTGGCATCAGCCTAGGGAAATCTCACCCAAGTGCCTAAAGAAGTAAGAGTGATTCCGTTCATGGTAGCACCTTCTGGAAAGACAGAAAACTGGAAATAGCCGCCAGGGCATGGGCTAACTATGGCTTGTTATAGTCACACAGCAGTGAAAAAGAATACCAGGTCTGTGTGTATGAACGTAGCTGGCTCTCCAAGACATACTACTAATGATATTAAATGAAAAAAGCAGAGTTTAGAACACATTCAAAGTGGCATCATAAAAACACACATCTACACTCTCAAGTATATGCATCTCATTTTAAAAACTAGTACACATCGTTACATTTATATATGCATTTGGCAGAAAAACAGATCTGGAAAGGTCACACTGTTAATAAAGATTATCTGTTGTGGAGGGGAGGTGTAAGAATTGAGGGTTTTGGTCAAAGAGGACTTTACTTTCATCTGTGCATATGTGTGATATTTTAGCTTTTTTTGGGTTACAATGTGTTCACATATACCTTTGTACATCACTAGAAATTAATGATAAAGATGATAGAGTGTGTGTGTGTGGAGTGGGGGGGCACCTGAGAAGAGATTCCAGAGCTCCTGGCCATCTTACCTGCAGAAGGCCTGCAAACTTGACCACTCCCCAGCCAAGTCTGGACACGTCAGGCTCCACCAAGCTCATCTGGTAAATATCCACAGCCAGGAATCGCTGGACCATGCCGCCATCCTTGGTGATCACGGTGCACGCGATCAAGTCGCTGTTATCTGGGAAGAAGAAGGTGGGAAGAGGATGAGGCACAGTCTGGCTGCCCAGGCTGATGGAGTCACCACAGTTGACTCTCATTCCACCAGGAGCAGAGCTCAGTGGTCACAGCCCAGGCCTAGAGTCACACAGACCTAGGTCTGAGTCTTCTCTGCCAGTTACGCCAGGAAAGTTTCTTTGCCTCTCTGGACCTCAAGATCCCTCATCTGGATAATAAAGATAATGCCCACTCTCCCAAACTGCTACTAGTTAGGACTAAGGTACATAAATCATCTGTCCAATGTGTACTGCATGTTGGGTGCTCAAACTGTAGCTTAAAAACAACTAGCATGGCTGGGTGTGGTGGCTCAGACCTGTAATCCCAGCACTTTGGGAGGCCAAGGCAGGTGGATCACCTGAGGTCAGGAGTTCGAGACCAGACTGGCCAACATGATGAAACCCCGTCTCTACTGAAAAAACAAAAAAATTAGCTGGGTGTGTTGGCATGCACCTATAATCCCACCTACTCGGGAGGCTGAGACAGGAGAATTGCCTGAACCTGGGAGGCACAGGTTGCAGTGAGCTGAGGTCATGCCACTGTACTCCAGCCTGGGCAACAAGAGCAAATCTCTGCCTCAAAACAAAACAAAACAAAACAAAACAACAACAACAAAATCAGCAACCCGAGAAAGAAACTGAAGATGACACAAACAAATGGAGAACCATCCTATGCTCATGGCTCAGAAGAAATAATATCATTAAAGTGACCATACTACTCAAGGCAATCTACAGATTCAACGCAATTCCTATCAAAAAAATCATTTTTCACTGTACTAGAAAAAAAAATCCTAAAATTCATATGGGTGCCAAAAAAGAGCCCAAATAGCCAAAGCAAACCTGAGCAAAAAGAGCAAAGCTAGGCCAGGTAGTGGTTCACACCTGTAATTCCAGCACTTTGGGAGGCTGAGGTGGGAGGATTGCTTGAGCTGAGGAGTTGGAGACTAGCCAGGGCAACATGGCAAAACCCCATCTCTATAAAAAATACAAAAACTCAGCTGAGTGTAGTGGTGCATACCTGTGGTCTAAGCTACTCAAGAGGCTCAGCTGGGAAGATGGCTTGAGCCCAGAGGGGTTCAAGGCTGCAATGAGACGGGATCACGCCACTGCACTCTAGCCTGGGTGACAGAGACCCTGTCTCAAAACAAACAAAAAAGAGCAAAGCTGGAGGCATCATACTGACTGACTTCAAATTACAAGGCTGTAGTAACCAAAACAGCATGGTACTGCTATAAAAATAGACACAAAGGCTGGGCACTGTGGCGCATGCCTATAATCCCAGCACTTTGGGAGGCTGAGGCGGGAAGATCACTTGAGGTCAGGAGTTATAAGACCAGCTTGGCCAACATGGTGAAATACTGTCTCTATCAAAAAATATAAAAATTAGCTGAGCATGGTGGCATGTGCCTGTAGTCCCAGCTACTCAGGAGGCTGAGGTGAAGAATCACTTGAACCCGAGAGGCAGAAGTTGCAGTGAGCCAAGATCGTCATCCCACAGCACTTCAGCCTGGGTGACAGAATAAGACTGTCTCAAAAGACAGCAAAAACAGACACACAGACCAATGGAACAGAATAGAGAACCCAAAATACAGCCACATATTTCCAGTTAAGTGATCTTCAACAAAACTGATAAGAACAGACACACTGGGGAAAGAACACTGTTTTCAATAAATGGTGCTGGGAAAATTGGATAGTTACATGCAGAAGAGTGAAACTGGACTCCTGTCTCTCACTGTATACAAAAATCAACTCAAGATGGATTAAAGACTTAAATGTAAGGCCCAGAACTATAACAATCCTAGAAGAAAATCCTGGGAAAACTTTTCTGGACATTGGTCTATGCAAAGAATGCATGACTAAGACCTCAAAAGCACAGGCAACAAAGTCAAAAATAGACAAATGGAACTTACTTAAACCAAGAACCTCAGTAACATTTCAGTGCTTCTGTATAGACTAATAGCGGTTTACAGTTGTGATGGTTAAACCAAGTTCACCAAATTAAGTAAAGACAGTAAAGCAAGAGTCCCCTGACCCGTTACAGAATCACCAAGCCCTCAACTCAGGGTGTGACAATTTAGAGCCAAGTCCTGCACTGGATGTTGTCTGTGGATGTGCATGTGCACTGGATGTGTACGGCACTTGGCCCTTCAGAACCAGTTTTCCCATTTGTAAAATGAGAATCACGTCCCTTATCTTGAATTGGCTGGTGCGTTAAATGAGAAAAGGCAGGAAAAGCACGGGTCTTAACGTATAGGTGTCCTCTGCATATGCTAGGTTCCTTCTCTTACTTGAAAACTGTCCCCAGCTGGGTGTGGTGGGTTGTGCCTATAATCCCAACACTTTGGGAGGCCAAGGTGGGAGGACTGCTTGAGCCCAGTAGTTCAAGACCAGCCTGGGCAACAGAGTGAGACCCTCTCTCTACAAAAAGCAGAAAAAAATAAGCCTCCCAGATATTTGGGATGCTTACAAGGGAGGATCACTTGCGCCCTAGAGACAGAGGTTGCAGTGAGCCATGATTGTACCACTGCGCTCTAGGTAACAGAGTGAGAGTCTGTCTTTAAAAAAAAAAAAAAGAAAAGGAAAGGAAAGAAAAAAAGCTATCCTCAAATTCAAAATCTAATTTAATGCCTATCCTTGACTTGGAAACCACCACAGTAACACAGGACCATTAAATCTAAGGTCTATCGGTGTATGTGACCCTCTGCCACTTAGGTCTTAAATGAGAGTGCTCAGTCCAGAAACAACCTAAATGTCCTCAAACAGGAGAACTATTTGAGTATAACTGTCTTTCCCACCAGATGGAAAATTATATGCCCAGTGAAAACTTGTTTAACCAAACTGTGGACAGTAGTTGCCCATGAGGTGCGAAGTGAGAATTGGGGGTGGGAGTCTGTGTGTGGGAGAAGTACTAAGGAGAGAACTTTCCTTTTTGTTCTATGTCCCACTCTACTGTTTAAAATTACCTTAAAATGAGAAAGTATTCAAGACATACTTTTGAAACACATAAAATAAGCCCAAGTTAAAAATCATTTTACAAGTAATTGCAATGACTGCGGAAAACATTATAATTTTAAATGAAGGAGGATAAAAATGTTATTACCATGAGTTTGACATGTTTAGAAAAAAGTCTCTCTACAAGGAAATACTAGTACAGAGAAAATGTGCCAAAACATGAACAGAAGTCTCTGATAAGTAGAGGGTAGGGGACACATTTTGTTGCTTCTTCACAGTTTTATTAAAGTATAATTTATATACCATGAAGTTCACCTATTTTAAGCATACAATGTGAGTTTTAGTAATTTTTCTTTTCTTGAGCATAGTATCCAATAGTTATTCAACCCTTGCCATCCCCCTGCCTTTAGCCGTCCCAGCGTCTATCACCCCCATCTTTACATCCATGAGTACCCAATGTTTAGCTGTCACTTATAAGTGAGGACACGTGGTGTTTGGTTTCTCCTCCTGCATTGATTTGCTTGTGCTGCCAGCTGCATCTATGTTGCCTGCGGAGGACATGAGTTTGTTCTGTTCTATGGCTGTGGTATTCCATAGTGTAAATGCTTCATCCCGCCCACCATTGATGGGCGCCTGGGGTGACTCCGTGAGTTTGCTATTTTGGATAGTGCTGAGTTTTAGTGCCATTTACAGCTATGCATGACTACATCCCAGTCGTGGAATCCTTCCATCACCCTAGTAAGTTCTGCTGGCAGCACTTTAACCAGATATTTGGCTCAACTTTATTCTGGGAGGAGAAAGGTAAGACAGATGGTATCAGTTCTGGCCAAAACACACGATAACAAACTTGGGCTCATGCATTCTCCAAGGATTTCTCCCCGCTCCCTTTTTTAGTTTTCATCCTGATCTAAAAGTGTAGGTAAATCTTGCCTTCCTCGGGCAACCCCAGCAAGGGACGCCTCAGTTCAGTCCTCTGACAGTGTAACCTGTCTGAGATTCTGCTATCGTGTGGATATTGGCCAGCTGGTCCCCTCGGTCTTTACAGGACTCAAATTTCCCTCTATTCTCTCTAGCATACAACCCCCAAGGTCAGCCAGGTACCCTCAGAGTAAATCTGGCACTTTGTATTATACCTTTTTTTTTTTTTCTTGAGACAGAGTCTCACTCTGTTGCCCACACTGGAATGCAGTGGCGCGATCTCAGCTCACTGCAACCTGTGCCTCAAGTGATTCTCCTAACTCAGCTTCCCTAGTAGCTAGGATTATAGGCATGCGTCACCACGCCTGGCTAATTTTTTCATTTTTAGTAGAGACAGGGTTTCACCACGTTGGCCAGGCTGGTCTCAAACTCCTGGCCTCAAGTGATCTGCCTGCCTTGGCCTCCCAAAGTGCTGTGATTAGAGGTATGAGCTATAATGTCTGGCCCATTTGTATTTTCTTATGATCTACAGCAAGAATCTTCTTTCCATTCCCAGCAGTCCAGCCAGGTATTTGAAAATATTTTTAAAAAAATATATTTTAGGGCTTGGCATGGTGGCTCATATCTGTAATCTTGGCACTGTGGGAAGTCGAGGTGGGAGGATTACTTGAGCCCAAGAGTTCATCCAGGACAACACAGTGAGATTCTTTCTCTAAAAAAAATTAAAATAAAATATGTATGTTTTAATATATTATAAAATGTGTAATAGTAACATAAAATGTATAATAACATATTTATCTTATGCTGAATTTTTAGCTTCATACTGGATGATCCTCTAGGTGAATAGTCTTCTGTATTTTCAGAAATGGAAGTCATCATATCCATTCTTATAAACATTTTCTTTGTGGTAGGTAGGGTTTGTTTTCTTTACTCAATACTTAAAACAGGCCGGAGGCAGTGGCGCATGCCTGTAATCCCAGCACTTCTGAAGGCTGAGATGGGCGGGTCACTTGAGCCCAGGAGTTCCAGACCAGCCTGTGCAACAAGGCAAACCCCATCTCTGGTAAAAGTAGAAAAATTAGCTATGTATAGTGGT